GATTTATTGCCACCTATTATAAACCTATCAATTAATTCCTTACCGCTTCAAATATTTTTACAGTTAAAATAATGCTTTAATTAACACAGCAAGTTACTTTCCCCTCTCTCGGCATCTCTGTGGAAAACCGCGAAAGTTAGTTCTTGCTTACTCTGTGTACACAGTCAACGCGTACGCGCGCATCATAACGTCATAGACTAAAAGAAACAATCGAACCTTTTCAAATTCAAAAATAGAGTCAGCGAGTGACGAACGACAGTGTCGAACAGTGAACTAACTCTAGGGTTCTAAATTTAAACCGCATACCGAACGAAAATTTAGAACGTCCAACGGATTGCATGTTCTAAATTTAAATACGAGTGCAGCTGCCAGTGTGAACTTTGTTCGTAGGGATTCCGTTTTACTTCTTAAAATACTGAGTCAACGTTCCATTTTAAACAGACGACTCCATTAATTTAAAATAGGTCCTTCGTAGTATCGACTTTCGTTTCAATGTAAACGTAGTACGATTCGTGATTATGAGGCGTGGTTGCCGATTGTTTTATAATTGGCATTGACAGTGAAAGTGTTTGGCGATAACTCGTCATCGGATCTATCGGTAAATATTCCCTAATACTATTTTACGCGTGTTACTTTCACTGTTTGTGTCGAATAAATTAGTGTAATACGATGAGAAATCGTGCCCGACGTTGTCCAAATTGAATTATTATTAGACAAGTTACATCACAATTGCGTGTAATGGAGTGTACATCTTCGAATGTTGCGTAATTTTGGTAAATGAACAATTACCTATAAATAGCCATTTGACGATATAATATCACGTCATTATAAACTACATTAGGTTTTTGCGTAGATTACGACTTAAATTACAATAAAATTGTTGAGACACCACTTTATTTATACTTATCAATAAGTAGAATACCTAAGTAGAAGTGAGGACACAGAAGTGGCCGAAAGCGTTGTCTATGATAAAATTATTTTGTCTTTGACTTAAGTACTTACTTAAGTCAATGACAAGTGGGTGTGCATACTTATGCATACCTACTTAATTGACTCTGAATGCATTAAAATGTTTAATTACTCTGAATACAAGAAAAAAAAAACGAAGCAAACAGACATTGTAGAATATAATAACAACCGATAACATTGTAAAAAAATGTTGTTAATAATAGGTTAGACAGTAAGTAAATAATGTCATAGCATATACTGAGTGTGAGTTATACCACAGATAAAATAATATTACATAGCTATATTGTCAATTAATAATGTGTAGGTGTAATTTTATAAGTAACTCACTTGAATCACTTTTTTTTTCACCGGTATATGTGGGTTATAATTTGAATCGCGCACCTCGACACTATACTTACATGTTCAATTATAATATTGCTAAGATAATCTTCACGCTTTCACGCACAAAGGGACCGGCAGAGACGTATTGAATGCGGCCCGTTATCTGAACGGTAAAGCAAACTTAATTTTGTGCGCCGCAATCATATAGTGATTAGCTGTGGATAACGATTTGGCGTCGTAACAGCTTAGTAATTGTTTTTTCTGAATTCGGTGCTGATATGACTGATTTTGTGTAGTTTAATAGTATCAGACGAGCCGCATGTTTGTTTACTGATCTTATTGTATATTAAAAACATTGTAAAACCGAAATATTTCATCTCTTTTTATATATAATGGAGAAATAATATTAAAAAAATCGTCAGTTAAGAAGAATCCACCTATATAATAGCCCAGTAAAATGTACCGATTCCACCTGGAAATAGATAGTTTCAGTATATAGGAACTGCCAATATTTTTCTACTTAATTAATATTATTTTTACAAAGTTATTAATAATTAATTCATTAAGTTATTATTAAATATTATTAAGGACAGGGGCAGGAAGGGGTACATTCCTCCCCAGCCCTTCCCCTCCTGAAAATTGTATGCTGTACAATAATTATAAGAATAATGAAATAATTATTTATTTATGACAGTACATATCAAATCAAAACAAAAGTCATAATTAATATAGGCAATTTTAGCCGCCTATCCAGCAAGATTTTTGTATTAATTATTTATCCCTACCGTTCAATTGAGTATACAGATTCAATTAAGAAGAACTGACAAGAATATCAAACGAATTTTTTTTTTTAATAACAGACATTAAGTGGTACCTGATTTCTACCAGTTTATTTACATTGTACACTTTATATAGGTGTATAGTATAATGTTATAGTGGTATATAATGTTAGTAACAATATTCTTGTAATGTGATTATTAATTAGTAAAATTGAGACTAAAATAATATAAACTATATTATTATTATTAATGAAATAACAGTTGATATTGTATATACATTGAAGAGCCACTTCTCCCTCTCAACCGGCAGATCTCAACGATCTCGTACAAATTTGCAGTGTGCATTTACTGTTATAAAAATGTAAAAAAGTTTACTTACTACGATATTCGCAACACAGTTTTAAACTTCTGTGTATATCATCGTTTCTTCAGTAAATTAGTACATATGTTTTCTGTTTTAAATAAATAAAAATAAAAAAATTATTGTCTATTGCTTACTTACTAGGTTTATATATATTGTACATAGACTATATAATGAATATATGAGTTCACTGGACCATCTATTTTAGGCTGCTACAATGTAGGTGCATTTCGTCATAATGTTTAGGAACTTCAGCACGTTACATTGCGTGCTTGGTCTCTCTATCTTATTTGTTTGACATCCCACTCCCATCTGTCCGATAACGACATGTCGTTCAGCTTCTTACATCTGCTGTCGGTATGGGTTGCCTAGTGGGTTGCTTCGGGGGCTGCTTCGTGGGTAGCGCGCTCGTTCGTCTCGTTGGTGATGCTATTCGCAGATGTCGGGTCATGAGATTTCTGCGGCTTCGCTCATTCCTCTGCCATCTTCTCTAGGAATCTCAATCTACTGCACTTAAAATGCAATAAGTCCCACATCCGAGCCGGCCAGGAAACGGGTTTACGCAATCATAGAAAGTACATGCATCGCCTGACATGCACTGTGAACACTTAATCGTGGTTAATTATTAAGATGTTAAAATAAATTGTATCTATACAACATATATATACTAGCCACCCACCCCGGCTTCGCACGGGTGTACATGAATTATATATATAAACCTTCCTCTTGAATTACTCTATTAAACAAACCGCTTCAAAATCCGCTGCGTAGTTTTAAAGATTTAAGCATACATAGGAACGGACAGACAGCTACAGCAACTTTGTTTTATACTATGGAATGACTAAATGTGCCCTCGGTTTTACCCGCGTTAAATGTAAATAAAAAGTATATATTTATTCCTATGCATAAGATATATTATTGTAAAGTTTCATCAAAATTCGTTCAGTACTTTTTGTGTGAAAGAGTAACAAACACCCATACGTACAAACTTTCGCGTTTTTTTCATTTCGTTTTTTTGTTGCCGTGATATACATACATATTTATATAACATATACATATATAATCTACATGACTGTCAATTTACATTTTTTTTATAATTATTATTTCTTAATTCTTCTCTTCTCAATAATAATGCACCTAGAAACTTTTTTGTATGCATATCTAAGCCGCGTAACTGTCAATTTATATTTTTTTTATCATAATTATTTCTCCTAATAGCAAATAATACGCTTTTCATTGTAGATGTTTTTTAATTAATCTAATCTTAATAATAATGCAACAAACTAATAATGCACCATGTCATAATTCGACACGAAATATAATAGATCGCATCAGAATTCGACACTTTCTACTTATAATGTAATTGTAAAGGATCCCAAGTTAATTTAACGGTATTTTCAGACTTTACAAAAGATTAAGTAACACCGATGGGTAATGCAAATCTGTGCCGAATCTATTTATTGCAACCTAGAGCCACTCCTCCGACTCGCCTTCGTCACAGTTGCTATTGTCGTTAGACTATGTAATGCTAGAAATAGAAATAATCTTTATTCAAGTTTATATCATATTTAAATAACAGTAGAGGACGTTTTCCTATGTTGGTTAAAAAATAAAGAATTTTATAATCTGTAGGATTTTCTTGATAATACCGGACTCGTATAAGTATGGACTGGAGAGATCCTAATTTACCATAATAATTTTTAATACTCATACTAGTATTAATATCACAAACAGCTATCACTCGCTCGTTATCTTACTGCGGCTGCACGCCGTGCAATATTGTGCATCTGTGGCTCATTACATTTTGCGCGGGAAAATAAGAAATACTAAAAAAAAGACTTCTTATCTTGAAATGATAGTAAAGACCGTTACACAATCTGTATTTAGCTTAGTAACAGATAGACGAAAACACCAACTTTGTATTGTACTATTTATAAATGCTCAACTGCATCGTAATTAGGTTAGGCTACGTTTATCGCTTCAACAACAATAATACTATTAGAATGAGTACGTCGTGGTTTAGTGGTTTATTGTCCTATTTTAAGATTAGAAAGGTCACGAGTTAGAATTTGGTCGACATCAAACACTGTTCTTATTATATATAAAAGAATCATACAACTCATACTAACTCATAGTTGCACACACATTTTTTTGTATATGTAACAATATTTTATTATTACATATACAAAAAAATGCCTCCTGTTGGCCTCGGTGGTCTAGCGGTTTAGCAAACCGCCATATTTCTGGTGGTCGCAAATTTGATTCCTCGCATTATTCAAACACTTTATGATCATGGGCATGATTATTTGTACAGTTCTGGGTATTTTCTATGTATATTGTCTGTATTTATAGAAAAAAATGTATTTGTATCAGTTTTCTAGTACCCATAAAACAAGATCTGCTTAGCTTGGGACATCTAGTTCCAAGCTAAGCAGATCTTGTTTTATCTCTAATCTCAAATAGTGAACTCAAACTCAAAAAGAATTTCGTTAATTAACAACGATTAAGCCACTTACGTAGGTTAATTCTATACTATTCAAGGTTTTAATTATAATGTAACCTCTTTACAGACAACAGACAGTGCGGATTTCCTGGCAACTCGTCCGCACACGGCAGCGGTTATTCCCGGCAAACCCGCCGGGAATCCCCTCCAGTTTATCCGGGTAGGCCCCGCGGACCTCGGCAGCCGGGCGCGGGAACAGCTCCGTCGAGCTGAACTTGCTAAACGCACCACAGAGCCCGCTCGCTTTGAGCGGCAAGAAGACTGGCAGTCGGTAAGTCTTATTTCTTACAGTCATAGGGAGGGGATTTCTTTTTAAATTAGCAAAGTTTACTATACAATATAATATACTATAGAAAACTACGTTTATTGTCTGTGGTTAATTTTTTAAATTATGATAATAGAATCATCCTTCTCCGCTAATGGTTTATGCTGGCAAAGCACCAGTGGTGGATGATAATGAGCATGAGGTCAGGTCAGTTAGCCAGTTAGTCAGGTGATGGTCTCCAGGGGGAACCGCGTGAAGGTCAACCTGACATGTTACATTGCTAGCAATTGGGTCATCGATCTACATTACTTACAATCCCCATTCCGTTCCACATTTTTGGATGTTAGTACCACAAATGCAATTAATGAAATTGTTAATTTTAAATTACAAGCAGAGTTATTTGCAAACAAATTATCTAACATATAAACATTGTTATTATTAAATGAGAGGTGATTGTATATATTTCCCATCCCATAAATTAGACCAATAGGGGTTGTCCAGTTTAAAAACACTGATTCACAAGAATACGCACAGACTGCGTCGCGTCTAAGATTTATAATGGCGCCCTTAATTATATCGTTTCCGTAGAACTAGAAAGTGGATAGTATCGGATCTGTGTTAATTGGCAAGTTTCCACACCCCATAAGGTGTTTTTCTGCTCCCTAAATGCATTCTTTAGCAATTAGCAACAAGGGAGTCTCTATTAATTTATAGTTTTTATATTGTTCTTAGAATCACGGCGTGTAGGCGCGGCGTTTTCTGTAGCAATATTATAAATGGAAAAGTTACTGGCTATTTGTTACGTTATTACCATTAACGGCTGAATAGTTTTTAATTAAATTTGACGTAAAGATAGATTGTATCTCAACGACAGAAATAAGACATCTATTATCTAAAAAAATAAATAAATTGGAAAGGGTGAAATAAGCTTAGAAAGTATGCATAAACATGATTTAACTAACGTGTAACAATTAGTGAACTATAATATAAAATGCTCTAGCACTATAAATTTATTAATACCTGTTGTTTTAAGTTGAAATGTGTGAATACAGACTACCAATAAGCACTAATTCAATATCAAAATATTTAAGACAACCAACTGAATAAGTAACTTTATAAGAATAAATTAGTCGTAGTGATCAGAGCAAACGAACCCGAAAGCAACAATCGTTCACGAGCATGACGGATGAGCCAACCATCGCTGAATCATCAATCATCATCACATGAAATAGAATACTAGTGAATTGTTTCTCGAAACTTATACCGTGATACTATTATCTCAGTATTACACATTTATTATCCAATATTTCCGTATATTGTTTAAACTTGCTTATCACCAAATTCCACACAAATGAGATAATTTTAAGCCATCTTTGTCATCTTAAGACCCGGCCATATAGTAATAACTAACTGTAATACACGTCGAATATAGCCACACTCGACGTGTATTACAGTTAGTTATTACTATGTGCTCCCTGTTTTTCCCCAAACTATTCTAATAATGTTGGAGTTTGGTTAAGAACACTAACGATTTATGCGAGCGGGGCACCAGTGGAGGATGATAAAATGAGCATAAAGTCAGGTCAGTTAGACCTTGGCCAATGGCAATTTACCACGATGTTTTCCAGGGAGCACCGGGCGGAGGTCAACCTGATTTGATACGTTGCTAGCAATGGTGTTATTAGTCCACGTTACTAATAATCCCTTTCTCCCCTTTTGTACCTAGTTGAACCGCCTGTATTAAGTTAAAGATTCTGTAATTAAAGATATCTAATTGGGACACAAGTATTGACGTTAGTCCAGTAATTGTTGTTAAAGCATTTTATCTGTTTTGACGGCCTCGGTGGTTTAGCGGTTTAACACCGCTTTACTTCCAAAGGTCGCGGGTTCGATTCCTCGCACAGTGCAACCATTGTATTCATGAGTATGATTATTTGTATCGCTCTGGGTGTTTACTATATATATTATGTATGTATTTACAAATAAAATATCTAAGTATTTACGTCAGTTTTAAAACCAGTAACCATAACACAAACTCTGCTTACCGTGGGTATAGATGGCGCTGTGTTGATTGTCCAGGGTTATTTACTTATTATTTTATTAATGTAAAACTGTACAAATAAAATACATAAATATAATAATATAATAATGTTGTAAGTAGTCTTCTTTGGCAGTCGGGTAAAAAGTGTCATTTAATTTACCTTTTCTTTTAAAATGACTTCGAAAGGGAAACTCATTAATAACACATATTCGCTGGAAGGATGCATAAAAACAAAGTTAAAAAAAGGTCCCCAGTATGTTAAGGTATCGTGTCATCGACTGCTTGTTATTCAGCTGATGTATAATGACAGGGTGTCCAATTATACGAACTTTATTAATTCAGATTCGGCAGTCGTATTTTATTTATCTAGTATAATACTTTAAAGATGTATTACATATGAATGTGGTGGTTGTAAGGGCAGAGGATACCGAAAAATAGATTGAAGGAGTTTGTAAAAGATGATATTGCCAAAAACGGAGTATAATGATAAGGGAGTCATAACGAGATGCGAATAGGGATGAATGGAAGAGAAAAACATATTACTCCAACCCTAAATGAATGGTATAAGGAAGAAGCAGATGATGATGATCTAGTATAGTAATAATATTCGTGGATGAATCACACAAAGCCATTTAATCCCAAGCTAAGGAGAGCTTGTGTTATGGGTACTAGACAAATGATAATAATAACTTTGATACATTTTTAAATACATACATAATATACGTAGTAAACACCCAAACCGATTCAAACATATTCATGAATACGAAAGTCGCACGGTACAAGTGCGAGGAATTGAACCCGCAAACATCGGAAGTAAAAGGTGACGTCCGTGACCGACGGCCGACTTATCCAATTTTCTTAAAATTACTTAATACGTAGTATTTTAAATGGAGAAGAAATTGTGGCATCTTTATTGGCAATTTTTTCCCCAATGAAACATGATCATCATCATCTGCTTCTTCGGATCGGTGTATATGTTTTTATCTTCCAATAAAACATTATCACAGTGACGAAATTGCAGCCAATAATACTGAAACCATATATATATATAAATAGAACTTGAATGTACTTGCTCAAAAGGCCTTAAAGCAATCTCTTATAGACAACCTTATTATTAAATACTTGTTTTTATACTGAACTTTTTTGAGAGAAGCAATCAAAAATAGCATATACCAGTTTAAGAGTTCACACTTCCGAAATACCGATGTGAGGTCGTTAGTAAATCGCAGACAGAAAATATACCGTCTCGACACAATTGTCGCCGGAGGCACAGTATAGTCACAAACTTGTTATTAATATTAGGAAATATAAAGAGATTTGCCCTCTGGCAACACCATTCATTGGTCAAAATGGTATTGTACATTTTGCGACCACTGTGGCGCTATAATAAGACATTGGCATCTTAATAGGTCCCGTGTTCGATTACCGTTATTATAGTATACCAAAGAAGAGGGGAATATTAGTTAAGGGAAACCCTATACAAAATGAAAATTATCTTACTAATATATAAATGCAAAATTTTGTGAGTATGTATGGATAGATGTTTGTTACTCTTTCACTCGAAAACTACTGAACAGATTTTGATAAAGCTTTACAGTAATATATCTTATATATCAGCAATTATTCTATAACTAGCTCATCAGCGCAACTTCATCTGCCTCACACTTTTACTTGATCGTTTATTCTTATATTTCGCCCAATATACATAATATATTTTTAAATTAATAATAATTTAACGACTACACATCAAAATAACACATAGACCATTCTGCTGTATAAGCTATAGCCGTTCAGTAGTTTTTATGTAAGAGTAGCAAACATCCATACATCCATTCATACTCACAAACATTTACGTTTATTTTTATTAGTTAGAATATTTAAGTACTTGTATTCATTCATTCTTAATATAAGAGTTAGGCTCTTGTCGGTGGAGCTCTTGCCGCTTTCCGAGATCTGCCATCATGCTCTTTAAATGTTAATACAACACTACTCCCATTTTGTCTTTAATTTGCTTGATGTACCTGTGCGTTGTAATAACTGTAATAAAAGTACTTGTAATAAGGTATTATTTGCACTGCAATTGCAACAATACAAATAACATTTTAAATATCATTGTCTTCGTTTTTTATTGCTTACTAATGACAAAAGGTACAGTTTAATATGTCCTCGGTTTGTCGCAATAACTGTCACTCTACACCGGCGGATATGCGCCGATCGCGTTTGCACGAACCGCGGTATGCGCTGTTTCCGTTGCACACCTACATTGATAATTTTGACATAATTTGTTTAAAAAATACATTCTTTACATTAATGTAAGCATTGTAATAAGAACAAGTTTATATCTACTATGCGACCTATACTATTTCACGGCCTTGGTGATCTAGTGGTTAGCCTAGATCACTACCTTATTTCGGATGGTTGCAGGTTTAGTTTCTCGCATGGTATAAACATTTGTTTTCATGAACTACCTATACTGCCTAGACTATATCGTCACCTCGGTGGTCTAGTGGTTTAGCACACCACCTTTCTTCGGATAGTTGCGGGTTTGGTTCCTCACATGATATAAACATTTGTATTCATGAATATGATTGTTTGTAAAGGTCTGAGTATATTTATGTATATTATGTATGTGTAAAAAAAAACGCTACATTATCAGCGTTGGTATACACTTTCTTTTATTTTAAAAAATACCATTATAACAATAAAATGCATCTTTCGGAAGCCACTGCTTAAGTGATTGCATTCTGATAGCCGGGCACTTTATCTACATGAACAGTAATTGTTATAAATTTTATTAATTTTACTGTTTGTACTTTCAGAAACGTCTCAAAAATTTAATAATGTATTTTAGTCGTTCGCGCAGCTTCTGTTAAACAAATTGATCGTTACTTATATAAAGATCTCGCGTGCAAAATTTCGTATTTCTAAACCCAGCGGTATTGCAGTGTTGATCGACCAGTCACTTTCTTTTTATAGTTATTGATTACTCTAGTAGCCATCCATATCTAGTAGTCTACAATTAGATTCAAAAGTACAATTACATCTCAAACGCTCCTTAAACAGATCTGTTATTAGTTACGCAGATGACAACTTAAGTAGAATATTATGTAATATTGACCTCAAAATATCCATCTGAATAGATAGGTTCTTTTGTAACTAATTCTTTAGTAATAATGGTACAAATAATTAATGTGCAATACTCTTACAATATTAAAATACGAGCACGTCTATTTTTTCGCTTATCCTTACTTCCTTATTAATATTATAAATGCGAAAGTAACACTGTTTGTTTGTCTCGCTTTCATGCCAAAACTACTGAACTGATTTAAGTTAAATATGGTACACAGATATTCTAGACTTTGAGAAAGGACATAGACTACTTTTTAATGCGAAAAAGGCTTGTAAATGGTTAAAGGGGAGATATAAGATTGTATGGAAATATCGTAATTTTTAAAGATAAAAAACTTGAAACTTAATTTTACGGCTGTTGATTATAAATATATAGGATATTCAAAGTTTGTAAACATTTTATCCTAAAGGGGATAAATTAAAATAGGGGATGCAAGTTTGTATGTAAAATCGTTATTTTTGAAGCTAGAACGATTTGAGGAATTCTTCCGGAAGGACATATAATGTACATAAATCTATACGACCTTCGTCAAATACAACGTGATTCCCGTGTGAAGCAAAGTGTTGTTGTTTAAAAATGTATAAATACAGTTATTATAAATTGTATTTACAATTAAATGTATTGTATTTACAAAAACATAACTATCTACGTCTATCAGAAGTCCAGTACCATATGGCAGTTGTGATAAAAAGTATTATACCAAGGTGTAGATATGCAATTAATAAAATCTATATACCAGTTAAATAAGCAATCGACACTATGAAAAGGCAAATACCGAATATTATGTCATCAAATCTAATCGACGGAATATCGATTCGATCGGGCCAGAAGCCAGCCTGTTGTTTGCTGTTTAATTTTCTATGCCTATCAGAATTATATAATTTGCATTATGCTCGCTTATTTATTTCACCAACTCCGTGAAATACATTCCCGTTTTAATGATATAAATACATAGAATAAAATACATAGAACTTATGAGATATTGGAGTAGTGACAACGTTGCTAGATATATACCATGTCAGGTACGTCCCTCCAGAAACCATCGTTGTGAATTTGTGGTCATTTCGCTAGGCTAGGCTAGCCGATCTGATTCCATGTTCATCCTGTCCTTCTCTATTGGTGCCACAATACCGTTAGCGTGGCCCGTCTGAAATACCTTCCCCGAAAACATCGTTGTGAATTCCTGATGATCCGCAACGATCGGTTAACTGATCTGACTACATAGTCATCCTGTCATTCGTTAGTCCCCCCCCCTTTCCCAATCCCTCCAGCATATACTGTTACCGTGGGTCGTCAGACACGTCTCTCTCGAAGTCATCGTTGTGAATTCCTGTTGTCTCTGAGTCCTGGCATCTTTAAGTGATCTGACATCATGCTTAGCCTGCCATTCTTCTTTGGTGCCCCGCAAGCATATACCGTTTTCGTGAGTCATCTGACACGTCTCTCTCGAAACCATCATTGTGAATTCGTGACGATGGGCCAACTGATTTGATTTCGTGGTCCTGTCGCTCTCCGTTAGTTAATCCAGCATAAACTGGTGTATCTGAGTCCTGACTAACTGATCTGACATCATGCTCAGCCTGCCATTCTCCACTGGCGCCTCGCCAGCGTATACCATTAGCGTAGTAGTTGCACCTTTCCATTATTGTCCATTAAAAAAAGATAATTGATCAGAAGTACCGCCAGAATGATATCACGTGCATCATAATGTAATAAGAGCTATTCATGATATAGTCGACGTTTTCACTTGTGAGCTGTCAGCTTGTTTGCCATTACATTAACATAAAATAAAATAAATTCCACGTTCATCTCGTAAATGCATAACCGAGATGCGACATTTTCTTGCAGCTAGATGACAATCTGAACACGCAATGCTTGACTCATGTTCATTTGCATTTGCTGCATTTAAAGGTCACGGCTGAACGTGCTTCATTTTACATTTTTAATCAATTAAAAGATAGAATATATATTCTTAAGTACGACTGTATATTTATTCATTGTATTTTTCTTGCGCATTCTTTATATCCGAATCCGTATTCCAAATAAAAAACTTTCAATTCAGAAATACTTATATTAAGATTTCAATATATATGTCTATATTAATTTTGATTTTATAAATACATATTAAAGATTTCCTACTTCGCCTAGTTCTTACACTACCAGTTTCAATAATGGGATATGACAATGAAATTGTATAGTACTGATTAAACATTATTGCCTTTTTTATTTTTACTAGTTTGCCTAGTTCCTACACCAGCAAACTTCCAGTTTCACGTTGCATATAACAGTGGAATTATAGTGTATGGCAGCACAACACCTTATTGAGCAATGTTATTTGTTTGCCACCTTGTGGTATAAAAATATCACGGAAGGGACGTACATAAGTGATAGTTACCACTTGACTATAGGCTCGTCCGCCTATTTAACATTCCAGTTATATTTTATATATTGTCATAATGTTAGTTAACATAACTGCGTGACCGATTTTTATAATTTTTTATATGCATATTCAGTAGGTCTGAGAATCGTGGACTATCTTTATATATTATTTTCATACCCCTAAGTGCGTGCTAATGGTTGTCCACCACTATTTTAGACATTTTTATATGTTTGTAATGTGGCATTAAAAATACATACAACCCTAAATTTTCACCCTTCTGTCACCAACCCCTATTTTTAATAGCGATTTTATTTTATATGGCCAAAACAACGTTTGCGAGTCAAATAGTACCAATTTATAAATAAAGGTGTTTTGCCACCAGAACCTGGACAATTGGAAATCATCACGCCGGAAGCGCGTCGAGCACATAATAGAGCGGTGTGTTGAGGTGCGACGTATGGAGAACGAGCCCAGTCAACCACGCGCTAAATCCAAAACCTTCAACGAGATGCTGGAGGAACGGTGAGTACATATACTTATAATCTATATAGATATAGAAACACAATAGACAGCAGCCTCGGTAGTCTAGCGGTTACTTAGCACACCGTCTCACTTCCTGTCGTCGCGAGTTCGATTCCTCACATGATATAAACATTTGTGTTCATGAATGTGATTTTTTGTATTGTTTGACATATTATCTATTATATATAAGAGCTATCATTTATTTGTCTCCAATCGAAATTAGTTTATAACGATACGATATAATTCAATATTTATTCCCTCTAAATTTCTAAAATCTATATTAATTTGCCAGTTTTTACTCGGCCGTCTATATTATTTTAACCCTCAATTGGGATGTCTTTGTCTGTGTTTAAAATAGCCAGCTATAGTATGAGAGATACGGATAGAAGAAAATGAACCTATGTGGAAGGACTTATTAATGGATAAATAAACATATTGCAAGATCAATTACCTATTATTCTCGGTCAGTCATCTGACTTATGAATACGTTTATGTCATTTTCGTTAGCTATATGTCATGCGTGTTGTAATCAACGAATGAATACACATTTCACCATCTCAATTGCTTCTTCTATCATGTCAATATTGTATTATGTATTGTTATATACTAGCATATGGAACCGTGAGACAAAATCAGTTCTGATATCTAAAGCCGAAATCCCTATATATATATATATATATATATATATATATTATATATTAGTTGTCCCCGCAATCGAAAAGAACGCCGTATAAATTATAGTATAAATATTGCTAAAAAATAGGAGTTAGTGATAGAAGTGTGGGAATTTAGGCTTGTATAATAATAATAATAATCTAATAACAATTCACACAGCGCCATCTAGACCCGAGTTAAGCTATCTAAAGCTTGTGTTACGGGTACTAGATAACTGATACAAGTACAAAGATATTTTTTTTTCGTAAATACATACATAATATACATAGAAAACACCCAGACCGATACAAACAATCATACTCATGAATACAAATGTTTGTGCCGTGCGAGGAATCGAACCCGCGACCATCGGACGTAAAGCGGTGTGACAGTCGCTGATTCTCAAGCCTACTGAATATGCATATAAAATTTCATAAAAGTAAGTCGAGCAGTTTCATGTGACATGAGAATTTTATATATAAGATATATATATAGAATGAATCAGTATTTCCCTTAGTCACAACTTCACGCGTGATTTCATTTCTATATATTTCGATTTCATTTTTAAACCAATTCTTTTTGGTTGTCTTGAAAAAACAAATATTAAGAAAATTCTGTGGATTTTATTATGACAATGGGAATTCAATATTCATAGTTAGACGGCCGTGTGACGAAAATGTTAATCTTATATTAATATGCAGGGCATTGTTACTAATTATCTTATCTGTGGTAATCAGGCCAACCTCCACACAATTTATCTTCGCACCAGTCATGGTTGCCTGGTAGAAAATGCCACTAGGTATTATATCCGCCATATGTACTCTTACTATTGTGTAAAATTATAGAAATAAATAACAAATAATAATAATAATCTCAGGACAATTCACACAGCGCCATCTAGAACCAAGTTAAGCTAGCAAACACATAGAAAACACTCAGACCGTACAAAAGATCATACTCCTTAATACAAATGTTTGTGCCGTGCGAGGAATCGAACCCGCGACCATTGGTAGTAAGACGGTGTACTAAACCGTTTAAATATCACATGTAAATCACATTATATAATCTTCAGTTTTTTGTTGATGGCATCATAATTCCACCTACGCTAACGCTTTACGGAAATTGAGCATTAGTGAAAGATGAAAGAAGATTGAAGTTAGATCATATATACGATTCTGACTAATTCTAAACTAGGATTTAACCGCAACAGTTGCCAGGAGGGTCGGAGCTGCCAATCAAGGTCGACCTGACATTACCTACAATGCGTCACTAGTTCCATATGGACTAACAATGATCTAATCTTGTGAAATCACTTTTCATTTTCGTTTTAATAACTCTTAAGATATATATACAATATGATCCTATGCGACGGTCTGGGTGGTCTAATGGTTTAGCACACCGCTTCACTTCCGATGGTCGCGAGTTCGATTCTTCGCACGGTGCAAACATTTGTATTCATGGGTATGATTGTTTGTATCTGTCTGGGTGATATATATTATGTACGTATTAAAAAAAATAAGTATTTATATCAGTTGCTAGTACCCGTAACACAGACTCTGCTTACCGTGGGACTAGATGGCGCTGTGTTAATTGTACAGGGTTATTTATGATTTATTGAAATAATATTGTCTTTCATATTAATAATATATTTCATTTGTTGAATTTACACGTCTAAACGGTTGAACTGATTCTAATGAAATGTTACATGGTATGATATCATAGATTGGGAATAGATTATACTCTCATAGGATCTATTCTCAATATATGACGTGTAATTGCAATCACGACAAAGAATATACATAGTATATCTCAGTCTCTCTAATAGCGGGCGATATCGAGATAAATAATATCATATAATAATAATAATAGCTCTGGACAATTAACACAGCGCCATCTAGTCCCAAGCTAAGCAGAGTTTGTGTTGGGGGTACTAGACAAATGATATAAATACGTAGATATTTTATTTGTAAATACATACATAATATACGCAGAAAACACCCAGACCGATACAAATAATCATACTCATGTATACAAATGTTTGCACCGCAGGAACGAACCCGCGACCATCGGAAGTAAATCGGTGTGTTAAACCGCTAGACCAACGAGGCCGTCTATAAATAAACAATAATTTAGTAATTTTATTACCAATATGTCATTACATTATGTACATTTTTGTATAGCAAATGCAACGATTGAACAAACATTTCGTCATCTCAATTACATCTCGTAACGCCTCCATATTGCGTTATTATATTAATATAACTGTAATAATGTTAGTATCATCATATACAAACGGTGTGTTTGTAAATAAATATGATATTGTAATAATACATTAATAATATTACAATACAAGCATGTAATTATTTCATGCGATTTGATGTCTCAATCTACGCTCGCCCTTATTTGCTAAACTATTTTATAATTATAACGACCTCGCTGGTCTAGTGGTTAAGCACACCGCTTTACGTTCTATGGTCATGAGATCATTCTTAGTACGATGCAAGTACTTACATTTATCTGGTGTTTTCTATATAATTTACAAAAACAATATTTATATCTGTTATATAGTACAGGTAATATACTTACCTAAAATATCATATACCTTGAATCTTGAGGTAAACAGATGCGCTGTATCTAAGGATATAATATATTTATTTCAATTTATTTGAATTTGTGCTGATTTGGACAGGAAAGAATGGATGAAATGAGAATAATGAATGAAATGGAGCGAGAATGAATGTATACGTCAGTAGGACATATCCTAAGCGAACGAAAACGTCTACTAAAACAGCAACGTAACGCCCAAAACAATAAAAGTAACAAGAGCCCCAAATAAAACTTACTTATAACCGATTGATAAACGTAGAACGTAGACGATGCAAAAAAGATAGGTATGTGTCAGTTGGAGAAACGCCAAATGACGTTCCTGAGACACCGTCTACCCCAATGATAGGCAGGCGTGACGATATGTATGTATTTTGTAATTATTTCACAAGTCATAAACTATTTTTATAGTCTTAGTGATTGTTTAGTGAAAGTATAAAAGATAAGACACGAACTACTTCCGAAACCTACTTCCAAATGTGATGATAATTGTTACTTAACAGCGTAGATATGTAAAACTATTCGTTTAATTATTTACAGTTTCTTAATGACGATGATCACGGAATGGTGATATTCTTTGTGCTAAAGATGTATTCTTACGGGATAGTTTTGAGGGGAAAACAGATCAGTTAGTCAGGATCATTTCTATGTAGCTCTTAGTAGAGCGATATAGGCTATTTCAATAGCATCATGTTACATGTAACAATGGACATAATATTATGAAATAAAACACGTTTTTTTACCAAAAAGGAATAGAGCTTATATTTCAAAGAAAAGGCGACAGTATTGAAATATCTCTTGTATAAAGACATCATTTAATCAAATATATATGTAAACTTGTTATGTTATAAAAAAAAAATATCGACTTATGGCTAGGAACTTAATTTTTTTACGCAGGTTTCTCCTATATTTTAGATTTCTGAACTTCTGGCTTAGGTTATCTAACAAAGGAGATTCTGAACTTCCTATATAAGTAGAAGGAAATAGACGGGGAAAGTTATGATGGAGAGTTCGTGTTAAAATAAATTTCCCTTAAAAGGAAATCTACTTTCGTGTGACACAAATGTATCTATACATAGTTACGTATCAATTTCACGTCCGTTGCGCTCGGCAGCCGTTGGACAACTGATCGGGTTACATGGACATCAGGGTTGCCAACCTTCAAATTAACCTTGTACGAAAAAATAAGAAATCTGATAAAATCTCATTTGTCTAAAATCTAATTCGGCTATCTAACCTTGTATTTTAAACGATTTTTATAAGTCAACTAGCTTTTGCCCGTGGCTTCGCTCGCGTAAATTTATCCCCTTAGAGGTGGAATTTATCAAAATCCTTTCTTAGGGGATGCCTCGTCATTGTAGCTTTATGCATGCAAAGTCTCAGCCCGATCGGTTTAAAACTGACAAAGTTTCATATAAACTTTCATCCTCTATTTTATCCCTTTGGGGGTAGAATTAATAAAAATCCTTTCTTAGCGGTTGCCTACGTCATAACATCTACCTGGATGCCAAATTTCAGCCCAATCCGTCCAGTGGTTTGGGCCGAGCGTTGATAGATCACTACGTCAGTCACCTTTGAGTTTTATATCTTTAGAATTATTTTTTTTATACTACGATGGTGGCATGTTTGCCAGATGCTAGATGATGATGTTGCCCATCTGATGGTAAACGGTTACCATATCCAATGGACGTCTAAAACTCCAGAGGTGTCACGTGCGTGTTGTCGACCCTTAAGAAACCTTA